GTCTTCCTCTGGCCTTACATACACAGGCACAGGCATGTATACCTGCAAATTCACATGGGTAAAACACACGCACACATACACATACAGACACAGAATTGAGGGAGGATAAGAAAAGAAATTTGTATATTGAAATCTAATGCAGAATGTCTTGAGATTAGGAGGTAGGAACTTTCAGAGGTGATGAGGTCATGAGGGTGAAGGCCTTGTGAATGAGATTAGTGCCCTTATTTATTTTAGATGTATTTTTTATGTATAGAGGTGCTTTGTCTGCATACATGCCTGAAGACCAGAAGACAGCATCAGATTTTTTTTTAATATTTATTTATTTATTTATTTATTTATTTATTTATTTATTATGTATACAATATTCTTTCTACGTGTATGCCTACAGGCCAGAAGAGGGCACCAGACCTCATTACAGATGGTTGTGAGCCACCATGTGGTTGCTGGGAATTGAACTCAGGACCTTTGGAAGAGCAGGCAATGCTCTTAACCGCTGAGCCATCTCTCCAGCCCCCGACAGCATCAGATTTTGAGCTGCCATTTGGGTGCTGAGAATTGAACTTGGGACCTCTGGAAGAACAGCCAGTGCTCTTAACTGCTGAGTCCCCTCTCCAGCCCTGAGATGAGGGCCTTATAAAAGCAGCCCAGGGGATCTGGTTTGCCTCTCTTTCTGTCCCTTCCACTATTCAAGAATACATAGAAGCCCTGAGGAGTAGGCCCGCTGATATCAGACACTGAACTCCTGGGACCTTGTTTATTTTTTTTAGCCTCCAGGCTTCAATTTCTGTTGTTTATGAAAATAAATACATAGTATAATTATATAAACAAACTCCTACTCTTTATAAATCCTTAGCAGCAGAAATAGAACAAGATATTCCATGCTCATCACATGACTCATTTCTGCACCTGGGTCTCTGCTCTTTGATGCCCACTGACACTGGGTTCAGGCCCCCAAGGTCTTGGCAGGTTTAGGAATTGAGGTTAGGACTGAAAATAGAGCTAGAAACTTTGTTTTAGTGGAGGACTAAAAATACAACCAGCAAATAAGATTAACTTACTCCATCAATAAGAAAACTAATCTACTTATAAAGATTATGGAAGGAGGGATGGAAAGGGTTATATAACCATGCATAGCTCTGAATGTCAACAATCTCAGCAATCAAGAAATGGCCTTGGAAGGACACTGTGAGGCCAACCTGGCTACCCAGTGAAAACCTGTCTCAAAGTGAGTTGGTAAGAAGAAAGGAAGTCTTCATAGATTTTATGACTTAAGTTACGTATAATTTCTTAAATATACAATATATTAGTTGTACTACTATAATTCATTATATATCATAAATTTGTTTCTTTTTTTCAAATAATCAAGTATTTTGAGACTTTTTTGGCTGGTCCATTTTCCTTTTGACAGTCTCCTCTCCTCCTATATGGTCATATATTAATTCCTTTCTTTGGTGTCTTCTAAAGAATGAAACCAAGAAGGCAAATTCAGGGCAGTGAAGTTCTCTTTATCTTGAAACACAAATATGCTCAAACGAAGGAGGTATGTGACAAGGGACAGTGCGACTTAGGGAACTGTCAAAATAAAGAGAATGTTCCAACAACAGGCGAACTGGTTCCAATTAGACAGACTGAAAAACCCTCCTTTAAAAAATCCATTTTTCTCCAGAGGTCCTGAGTTCAATTCCCAGCAACCACTTGGTGGCTCACAACCATCTGTAATGAGATCTGGTGTCCTTTTCTGGCCTGCAAGTGTACATGCAGTCAGAAAACATAATAAATAATAAAGAAAACATTAAAAAAATAAAAAATCCATTTTTCATATCCTTTCCTATTTCTAAATATAAATTGTTATCAATAATTGTGATAAACAATAACATCGTTTAATTTCTTGCCAGCTGAGGTCTGCGGAGCTGAAGCATGCTGGACCTCGGGAGTGTGCAGTTGTGGAAGCAAATAACCAGCTCCCGACGGTGGGAGTGGAGGTTACCATGGCAACCCGATCGCACAGCTCTGTGGCGTTCCAGTGGCAGAAGCTGCTGGCTGTCATTTATACTCCCCACAACGTTGAGGTACAGACAGGAAGTTTTCCTTGTGAAAGTTGGAAATTGGTAGGTCCTTTGAAATCCACAGAGGAAGATTGTGCGATTCTTTCTTCAGGGCCATGACAAAGCATTTATTGTCGGCAGTAGTAGTAGCTCATAACAATATTTAGCCTTTGGTTTGGCCAAAACAATCCTGAAATTTCAATCTCTGCAAGAATGATTGCATGGAAATGTAATGAATGGTTAAACCAGTTTGTATTTAGTTCTCATTCGTTCCGTGATGCTGGTTAAGGTGTCTCCTTTCAGAAAGCAGAACATTGCTTCCTGGTCTGCCCTCACAGTCAGAGTACAGCAGATGCCATAAATAATTTATTTACTACAGAATCCAGAACCTGGACCGGAGTCTAGTACACAGGGGTTTCCACCCTCAGCACCCCCACACCAATAACAATGCTAATTAAACCCCATTATCTCTTAGACTCTGTTCTAGGTTCTGAATTCAGTAACCAAAATAGGCACACTCTGTAGTAAATAAATTACTTCTGGTATCTAATGTAGTCGAATAGTCTCACAAATCTGTAACTTTAACTACAAGAGAAGCTAAGGCAGATGACTTGCAAGTTTGAAGCCTGCCAGAGCCATGGAGTGAGTTGAAAACCAGCCTAGGCAAGTTAGTGAGCCCTTGTCCACAAACTCAGATATTGATATGGTGGTAATGTAGCTCAGTGGTACTATCTAAAGTGCCAGGGTTTGATCCCAACGGAATAAGAAAGGAATGAAGGAAGGAAAGAAGGAAGGAAGATCTTTGTGCAGTCAAAAAGTGAAAAGACATGAGCCATGTAGACACATGAGTCCCATGTCCAAAGAGCAACTAGAGTGCACCCCCTGGAAGGCAATAAAGCAAAGATGAAATTGGAATGATAAGGGCAAGATCATTTGGGGCTCTTTTAGTTTGGACCTAGAATGTTCTCTAGGGGCCCATGTATCCCACTGAGTTATCTTGTCAGCCTTAAAGCTATATTTGTGTTAAAAAATTGTTTGTTTTTATTATTTTTAATTGTGTACCCAAGCACACACACACACACACACACACACACACACACAGGCCCAGGGGAGGCCAGAGATCTAGGATCCCCCAGGAGCTGGAGTTACAAGCAATTGTGAGCCACCAGACCTGGGTGCTGAAAACCAAACTCATGGCCTCTGCAAGAACACTTTTAAAATTGGGCAGTGGTGGTGCACGCCTTTAATCCCAGCACTCAGAAGGCAGAGGCAGGTAGATCTCTGTAAGCTGGAGGCCAGCCTGATCTACAAAGAGGGTTCCAGGATACCCAGGACTATTCACAGAGAAATTCTGTCTTGAAAAAAAAACAATAAAACAAAACAACAATAAAACACTTTTAATTGTTGAGCTATCTCTCTACCCCCTAGCTATGCTTTTCTTGAGATGGCATTTTAGCTTGCTTGAGTTGTTTGGGTGCCTCTGTGGACCTCTGATATTGTGGTGGGAAGAAGTTCATAATGGTGTTACAGACTGAAGAACTTGCTGGGCTATGAAGCAGCAATGAAAGTCATAGTGAGAGAAGAGTCAAAGAGGGGGGCTGGAGAAAACTCCACCACATTGGACAGGTCACACTTGATGTGCTGCAGATGAGAAAAGTGAGAAATGAAGCAAAAAGAAAGAAGAGTTGAGAAGTGGGCTGTCGAGATGGCTCAGCAGTAAAAGTGCCTGCTGCCCAAATCTGGTACGCCCAGTTCGTCTCCAGATCACACTGTGGAAGGAGAAACAGACAAAGGAGAAACAGGCTTCCACGAGTTGTTTCCTCCACACGGGTAACATGGCACACACATGTCCCCCACACCTCTCCTTTTCCCTCTACAGAGAGAGAGAGAGAGAGAGAGAGAGAGAGAGAGAGAGAGAGAGAGAATAAAATTTAAGATTTTTTTGTTTTGATTTTTGAGACAGGGTTTCTCTATGAGACAATCCTGGCTGTCCTAGAACTGACTCTGTAGACAAGGCTGGCCACAAACTCACTGAGATTCTCCTGCCTCTGTCTCCCAAGTGCTGTAATTAAAGACGTGTGCCATCACCACCTGGCTAAAATGTAAGAATCTTGCTAAGGGTTTTTACAAAAGTGGAGGTGCTTACAGAGAAGCCATTCAAGGTTTGCATTGGTAACTTAGAGCTGTTTCTGTGTGGATCCTGAAACCTGCCATGAGATAGACTGTTTTTCAAGGAGCTAAATTAGTGTAACATAGGCATCTTCCTGTAATTTATAGTGTACAAAGTCTTTTATATTATAGATTGGTCATCCATCCAGAATCACTTATTGTTACAAAATGCTCATGTATAGTTTAAAAAGAAGGTCCACTTACTGTAACTGATAATTCTAATTATTCTAATTATTCACAATATAGACAAAGTCTCACTATGTAGCCTTTGCTGAATTGGAACTGACTGTCTAGACCTGGCTGGCCTCAAACTTGTAGGAATCCACCTGCCCCTATCTCCTGAGTTCTGGGCTTAAAGGAGTTCATCACCATGCCTGACCCTTTAAAATTTAATTCCCGTGGCGTCTGAGAGCCCAGGTTGTCCCTGGAAGATGTCCTTTGACAAGCACATTTATATTTTTTTCTTCTTTTGCCTTCCAGATAGTTTGTCCGTTATTAGGCTTTTAAAGAATACTTAGTAAGTTACACTGTGGGCAAACAAAAATCAATAAAACACTATTCCTGTCCAGGCATTAGCAGTCTCAGGGGAGAAAGAAACATTGAAACATCAAAGACACAAGTCAGAACTCTGGGACAAAGGTAACAATTGGATTAAGACTAACAAAGTCAGGATTGTAAGTAAGGTTAGCTGTGAACAAACTAATAGGAATCAATCCAGAGAGGCTGATTAGCCACCGGGAAAAGCATTCAATGCGTTACCTTTAAGTATGTTAAAGCGCTTACACTCTTTAATTTCTGCTATCCATGATGTAAATTCAAACTTGCCATGACCTTCCGTTATTCCCGCATAGATTTCCAGCTTTGCCTCGGGTACGTTTTCTCTTCTTGTTCTCAATTCTTTCTCTGATTGTTCTAGTTCCTACGAAAAATACAACAGGCAACAGAGGCCAAGAAACCATTTATACAATAAAAAGCAATGGTGTTCTTGTTAAATCACATTCCTTTTTTTATAAACCTCATTGTTTATAATCACGTGACTTGTCTGTGTGTATCTCCACTTCATGTATGTGTGTATGCACCTCCACTTTGTGGTTTTTAAGGTGTGTGTGTGTGTATCCAGCCTTACAGAAAGTAATAGAAAGAAAATCACAACTCAAGTAATCCAACATTGCCAACACTGCCTACAATAACTCAGGCATCTAGTGACCCTTCACCAGCACAACTCAAAGAAGGGAGACACACAAACTCTACTACCAAAAACAATAAGAATAACCGGAGTAAATAATGACTGGTCATTAATATCACTTAATATTAATGGGCTCAATTCAGATACAAAAACAGGATCCAACATTCTTCTGCTTACAAGAAACACATCTCAACCACAAAGACAGGCATCTCCTCAGAGTAAAGGGTTGGGAAAAGGTTTTTCAAGCAAACGGGCCTAAGAAACAAGCAGGCGTGGCCATACTAATTTCTAACAAAACTGACTTCAAACTAAATTCAGTCAGAAGAGATCGAGATGGACATTTTATACTCATAACAGGAACAATTCATCAGGATGAAGTCTCAATCCTGAATATCTATGCCCCAATATAAAAGCACCCACTTACGTAAAAGAAATATTACTAAAACTCAAGGCAGACATCAAACCACACACACAAGTAGTAGGAGACTTCAACACACCTCTCTCACCAATGGACAGGTCAATCAGACAGAAACCTAATAGAGAACTAAGAGAATTATTGGAGGTAATGAAGCAAATGGACTTAACAGACATCTATAGAACACTCCACCCAAATAGGAAAGAATATACCTTCTTCTCTGCAGCTCATGGAACCTTCTCAAAAATTGACCACATACTCGGAAACAAAGGAAACCTCCACATATACAAAAATATCAGATCACCACGGATTAAAGTTAGAAGGCAACAACAACGCTACCCCCAGAAAGCCGACAAACTCATGGAAACTGAACAGTCAACGACTGAACCACACCTGGGTCAAGGAAGAAATTAAGAAAGAAATTAAAGGCCGGGCGGTGGTGGCGCACGCCCTTAATCCCAGCACTCTGGAGGCAGAGGCAGGCGGATCTCTGTGAGTTCGAGGTCAGCCTGGTCTACAAAGGGAGTTCCAGGACAGGCTCCAAATCTACAGAGAAACCCTGTCTCGAAAAACAAAAACAAAAAAAAAAGAAAGAAAGAAATTAAAGTCTTCCTTGAAATTAATAAAAATAAAGAGACAACATACTCAAACCTATGGGACACAATGAAAGCAGTGCTAAGAGGAAAGTTCATAGCACTAAGTGCCCACTTAAAACGGAGAAAGCATACATTGGAGACTTAACAGCACACCTGAAAGCTCTAGAAAAAAAAAGAAGCAGATGCGCCCAGAAGGAGTAGAAGACTGGAAATAATCAAACTGAGGGCTGAAATCAACAAAATAGAAACACAGAAAACAATCCAAAGAATCAATGAAGCAAAAAGTTGGTTCTTGGAGAAAATCAACAAGATCGACAAACCCCTATCCAAACTAATTAAACGACAGAGAGAGAACACACAAATAAATAAGATCAGAAATGAAGGGGGACATAACCACAGACACAGAGGAAATTCATTAGAGCTTACTACAAAAGCCTGTATGCCACAAAACTGGAAAATGCAAAAGAAATGGACTTTTTTTTAGATAAGTACCATATACCAAAGTTAAACCAAGACCAGGTGAACAATCTAAATAGACCTGTTAGTCGCAAAGAATTAGAAGCTGTTATCAAAA